CTTTAAGAAATCAGTCTTCCTAAGGAAGACTTTTCTATAGGAAAACAGTCTTCCTAAGGAAAACTTATTCTATAGGAAAACAGTCTTCCTAAGGAAAACTTTTTCTATAGGAAAACAGTCTTTCTAAGGAAGACTTTTTCTATAGGAAAACAGTCTTCATAAGGACTGTTTTTTTTATAGGAAAACAGTCTTCCTTAGGCAGAGTTTTTCTATAGCATAATAGTATTCCTTAGGAAGACTTTTTCTATAGGAAAACAGTCTTCCTTAGGAGGACTTTTTCTATAGGAAAACAGTCTTCCTTAGGAGGACTTTTTCTATAGGAAAACAGTTTTCCTTTGGAAAACTTTTTCAATAGGAAAACAGTCTTCTTTTGGAAGACTTTTTCAATAGGAAAACAGTCTTCTTTTGGAAGACTTTTTCTATAGGAAAACAGTCTTCCTTATGAAGACTTTTTCTATAGGAAAACAGTCTTCCTTATGAAGACTTTTTCTATAGGAAAACAGTCTTCCTAAGGAAGACTTTTTCTATAGGAAAACAGTCTTCTTAAGGAAGACTTTTTCTATAGGAAAACAGTCTTCCTAAGCAAGACTTTTTTTAGAAAAACAGTCTTCCTAAGCAAGACTTTTTCTATAGAAAAACAGTCTTTCTAAGGAAGAGTTTTTCTATAGGAAAACAGTCTTCAATAGAAAGACTTTTGCTATAGGAAAACAGTCTTCCTTAGGAAGACTTTTCTATTAGAAAACAGTCTTCCTAAGAAAGACTTTTTCTATTAGAAAACAGTGTTCCTAAGAAAGACTTTTTCTATTAGAAAAGAGTTTTCCTAAGGAAGACCTATTCTATAGGGAAAGAGTCTGCCTAAGAAGTCTTTCTATAGGAAAGTGTCTTCCAAGGAAAACTTCTTCTATATGCAAAGAAACTTCCTTTAGGAAAATAGTCTTCTTAAAGAAACTTCTTCTATAGGAGAAGAGTCATCTTAAGGAGGAATTCTTCTATAGGAAAAAAGTCTTCCTAAGGAAGATTTTTTCTAGAGAAAAAAAGAGACTTCCTAAGGATCACTTTTTTTAATTTTTAATTTATTGTTTCCTGATTTTAGAGGTTTTCCCAGTCGTTGCTTTCCATGTTATACATTTCTTCAGCAATTTCAAAAATTTTGTAGAATCAACATATATGCACGAGTACAATTGTTTTGTTATTTATTTAACAATGAAAACAAAATACATATGTATGTAGACTAGAGATACGTGCATACATACATACATATCTATTTACAAATTACCATTAAGAAACATTGTAAAAAGCATTGAAGCTGATAATTGTTGGTAATTTTTGTTTTGTTTCTCGGTTGCTCTATTTAAGTAACTGAGCTACATATTGATGAACATTTACTGAAAAACGGGTATAAGTCGAAAAAGATCGTTGCAAGAAAATAATTTTCAATGTTTCGAGACAAACTTTTAAATAAATGAGCGAAATATAGCTTAAGACATACATACATATGTTTGTATATACCCAAGTTGAACTCAAAAATAATTTCAATTTCATTTACCCACAAAATTGTGTAAATTGGTCATTGAGTAGATTGATTGTATTTACCGAAGTAATTAAGATAATTTACAAGAAATCAACAGTAATTTATACAAAATTAACTGGGTGTTTTTTCAAGTTTTCTTAATTTTTCTTGTAAATAAAAATATTGTGCAAAATTTCAGAAACATTTTAGGTTAAGCAAACAAACAGAAAAATAACCCGGTTTCTTTAACTAAAAGCAAATCAACCTTGTAATAAATTTTTAAAACAATTACATATTTATTACCATTTTTTTATATTTTTAATAAAATTACATTTTTTACGCATCATTGTTTAGTTAATTGCCTCATTTTCTATATATTTTTTTGTAACTTTTTTGATTTCTAAGATGTTTGTTTAGGTTTGGACTAACGCGAAAAAAAACCCAACAACTAAACTGTCACAACAACAATATGTCAATCAAATGTCAAAACAATTTATTAAAATTTTTTTTGCAATTATTACGAAAAATAACATACAAACAAACTAGTAGCAGTTGTAGTAGCTAATAAATATAAATTATTTAAACAAATAAAACCCCAAAAGGAACAAAAACAACAACTACCACAGCAACTGCCACACAGAAAAAAAAACAACGTATTCAATTTGTTTGTTAATTGAATAATTTAAATTGTTTGTCAGCTAGTCAGTATGAATGAAAAAAGAAACCCCGATCGTATGTAGATACATTTTTAGATGACAGCAGTTTGCTTCATCATTAGGGGTATTTAGAGTAAGTTTACATGAGTCCACCCTTTGCATTACCTTTCACCTGTTAATTCGCTACACTGCAATCTCCATTGACTGCGATTAATGATTGACTACAAATTTTAATATTTTATTAAATTTCATTATTTAAAAAAAGGTTATTTTTTAAAAAAGTTTTATTCAGAATAGTTTCTTCTTAAGAAAGCTTTTGTTAAGCTTCTTCTGAAAAAAGTCGTTAAAAAGGTTTCTTTAGAAAAGTTTCTTCTACTGAAAGTCTACCTTAAAAAGTTACTTATTTTCCTTAACAAAAGTACTTTTCTTAGAAAGCTTTTCTTTTTAAAAGTCTCTTCTTAAAAAAGGTCTCTTTTTAAGAAAGTTTTCTTTGGAAAAGTTTCCTCTTATGAAAGCTTTCTTTAGAAAAGTTCCTTTGAAAAGTAGCTTTTTCAGAAAATTTCTTTACAAATGTCTTTTTCTTAAGAAAGCTTTTCTTTAGATATTTTTCTTGTGAAAGCTTGTCTTAGAAAACTTTCTTCTTATGAAAGATCTTCTTCAGAAAAGTTTTCTTTAGAAAAATTTCTTCTTTAGAAAGTTTCTTCTAAAGAAAGTTTTCTTTAGAAAAGATTCTTCTTAAAAAAGTTTTCTTTAGAAAAGCTTCTTCTTAAGAAAAGATTACTCTTTAGAAAAAGCAAGAAATTTAAAAAAAAAATGTTTATTCAGAATTCTTTCTTCATAAGTAAGCTAAGCTGTTAAGCTTCTTCTTAGAAAAGCGTTAAAAAAGGTTTCTTTAGAAAAGTTTCTTCTACGGAAGTCTACTTTAAAAAAGTAACTTTTTCTTTAACAAATGTATTTTTTTTTAAAAGCTTTTCTTTTTAAAAGTCTCTTCTTAAAAAAGCTTTTAGAAACGTTTCTTAAGAAAACGTTCTATAGAAAAGTCTCTTTTTAAAAAAGTTTTCTTTGGAAAAGTTTCCTTCTTTAGAAAAATTTCTTTGAAAAGCAGCTTTTTCAGAAAATTTTTTTAGAAAAGTCTTTTTCTTAAGAAAGCTTTTCTTTAGATATTTTTCTTGTGAAAGCTTATCTTAGAAAACTTTCTTCTTATGAAAGATCTTCTTCAGAAAAGTTTCTTCTTGAAATAGTTTTCTTTAGAAAGCTTCTTCTTAAAAAAGGTTTTTTAAGAAAAGCTTCTTCTTAAGAAAGTTCCCTTTACAAAAGTTTATTCTTAAGAATGTTTTCTTTAGAAAAAGTTCTTCTTGAAAAAGTTTTCTTAAGAAAACTTTCTTCTTAAGAAAGCTTTTCTTTAGAATAGTTTCCTGTTAAGAAAGCTTTTCTTTAGAAAAGTTTCTTTTTAAGAAGTTTTCTTTAGAAATGTTTTTTGTTGAGAGGTTTTCTTTAAAGTTTATTCTTAAGAAAAGATTACTCTTTAGAAAAATTTCTTAAAAAATTTTCATTATTTTTAATATTTGACCTTTGACCCCACAAATACACAATTTTTTTTTTACAACGTAGCCCTATACTCCTATAAAGTTGTAATGAAATTGTATAAAATATAATTTCCCCTAATATATAGATATTCATCTTTGATATCGTGCTGTAATAATTAATACAATTTTAATTGAGTATAAGTAAAGTGGACTTGATGTCTAGTTAAGTGGATTTTTTTGTTCAATTCAAGTTTGAATAAAATATTTTTTTTTATTGTTTGGGGTGAATTTACAAATGATTCTGTCATTTAAAAAAAAACATTAATTGTTTGTAATAAATTATAAGAGTCATTAGAAAATGTACTGTAATTTTCCCATTCTCTAGATGCATTTAGAGCAGTGAATGGCACCAAGAGATTACCTCTCATGTATTTAAAAACTTTAGCTTTGATTAGACTTTAGAGCAGGCATCGGCAGAGAGTGATAAATAAATAGGATTTCTTATAAATTTGTGAGATTAAGTATGTGTAAAGCAAGATTATATAAAGATCATGAGAGAGAGAGAGAGAGAGCTTTGGTGTGATTTCTTTAAAGCACTCATCTGCAGGCAATAACAAATTTGCTCTCTGTCTGGTTTCGTTCCGTTTTTATACATGTGTGGTATTACGTTCATATATGCAAGAGAGCTTTTTGTCTATTTCAGCTTTAAAGCTTATAATTATGTTATTTATCTATTCATATTATTTGCGTGTTACGTACATATTATAGTGCCCTATTAAGTACTGTTGCCGACCACTGATTTAGAGTAATTTATTTATTTTAAGCCCTATTAAGCTAAAAAAGGAAACTTTTTTAAATGAATCATTGAACTTTGCAGCCATATTCAATGAAAACTTGTTCAATTAGAGGAACTTTTTATTCAAATTTTTTAAATTCTCGGGAAAATTTCTTCCTAAAAATGTTTTCATTCGAAAATTATTCTTCACAACAATTTCTGTTTAAAAAGTTTTCTAAGAAAGCATGTTTCTTTAGTAAGTTTTATTTTAAAAAGTTTAAAAAAGTTTATTCCTAAGAAGCTTTCTTTACAAAAGTTTCTTCTTAAGTAAGTTTTTTTAATTTTGTTTCAGAAAACTTTCTTCTTAAGAAGTTTTCTTTGTAAAAGCTTATATTTATATTTCGTTAAAAAAGTTTATTCCTAGGAAAGTTTTCTTTAAAGTTTCTTCTTGAAAACGTTTCTTTGGAACAATTTTTGGTAAAAAAAAATACTTTTCCTAATATTGGAAATGGTGTACATTTAAATAAAATGCATTTAAAAACTCACCTGTTGATTTGATTCATCGTCTGTGGCGGTTAACAATTTAACCGTACTACCATTGGCCAAATTAAAACTACTATTCACCGACAGATGCTGTTTCATAGGCGATACGCCAATGCGTGAAAAATTATGATAATCACTGCCAGTGCCGCCCACATCTTGACTATGATAATCCGAGTGAATATCGTTAAGTGTATTATTGCTACCACTAATGGTAGTAATACCACTGGAACTAATACGTCCTGAAGTGGCAGTTGTACGACCGCTTATGGTACCCACTCCGCCACTGCCACCAACACCGCCACCCACATCTCTAATACCACCACCACGACCAATAACATTCGAACCCATTAGCTCTGTAGTAGTTATGTTCGATATATAACTGCGTGTTGTTTGTGGCGAGGGGGTTATAGGTGGTACCATACTGCTACCACCACCCCGGCTATTGCCACTTATACTGCCAGCACCACTTTCCGCTCTACGGCGCATATTAACCCAGGACAAACGGTGTTCCTGTTTACGATCCAATGTAGTGTTATTGCTGGCATAGGGATCTTTTATGGTGGAATTGTGGCCCATTACATAAATACTTGTGGCTGATGAATCGCTGCGCATGCGCATTTCTTCCATGGGTTGTTGGTGTTTAACCGCTGGTGGTGTGGACGGTATTGGTAAGATGCTTGATGTTTTGTTGGTTCCATATATTTTATTTAAATTTTGTTTTCTTTGTGCCGTTGTGGCTTTCAGTTGTTGTATATGTTCATCAAGTGCCTCGTCACTTGTTCGGGTTTTAAATGAGGGATTCATTGTCTTGTTATTGAAACTGACCAAAAACGAAAACTTTTTACTGTTATCAAAACATTTGTTTTCTTGTTTTGCTTTTGCCGGAATCTGTAAAGAAATAATTACAACAAAAAATCAGTTTATATGCATAACATAATGTTAATTAAATAATGAATCACAATGAAATTATTAATTGTTGCTTTTGGCAGGTTCTAACACAAAACCGTTTAAAATTTGTTTACAAAAAGTTTTTTTCCCAAAATTTTTTGAAATTCTTAAAAAAAAATTTTAGCGATAAAGAAACCATAAACACAAAATCAGTGGCTTAAGTGTTCCATTGAAATTTAAATGAATCACAATTCGTGATTAATGGACGTTGATAAATAGCGGTTATGATACAAATAGAATTTAAATTAATAAAAAAAAAACATCAACAATATTTGCATAATTTTACTATTTCAGAGAATTTTCAATGTTTCGCATTTTATATAATAGAGCATTATCAAATTAAAGCAGCTTGTCTAACGATTGTTAAGAACATAATTAATATGTTAATGTTATGGGGCAAATGTTACGTATACGAAATATATTATATAACGGTAAAGATATTGTGATTATCGAACAAACATAAAATACTTTAGATTATTTGACATAAAGTGAAAAGTTTTGTTTTGGTTTATTTTTCATCAGTAAACAAAGATATTGTTTCTCTCAATTATAATAAAATTAATTATAAATATTATTATTATTCAAATCATAGTCTAATCATTAGTCCAGTCTATAGTCTAGTCTATAGTCTAGTCTATAGTCTAGTCTATAGTCTAGTCTATAGTCTAGTCTATAGTCTAGTCTATAGTCTAGTCTATAGTCTAGTCTATAGTCTAGTCTATAGTCTAGTCTATAGTTTAGTCTATAGTCTAGTCTATAGTCTAGTCTATAGTCTAGTCTATAGTCTAGTCTATAGTCTAGTCTAGTCTATAGTCTAGTCTATAGTCTAGTCTAGTCTATAGTCTAGTCTAGTCTATAGTCTAGTCTATAGTCTAGTCTAGTCTATAGTCTAGTCTATAGTCTAGTCTATAGTCTAGTCTATAGTCTAGTCTATAGTCTAGTCTATAGTCTAGTCTATAGTCTAGTCTATAGTCTAGTCTATAGTCTAGTCTATAGTCTAGTCTATAGTCTAGTCTAGTCTATAGTCTAGTCTAGTCTATAGTCTAGTCTATAGTCTAGTCTAGTCTATAGTCTAGTCTATAGTCTAGTCTATAGTCTAGTCTATAGTCTAGTCTATAGTCTAGTCTATAGTCTAGTCTATAGTCTAGTCTATAGTCTAGTCTATAGTCTAGTCTATAGTCTAGTCTATAGTCTAGTCTATAGTCTAGTCTATAGTCTAGTCTATAGTCTAGTCTATAGTCTAGTCTATAGTCTAGTCTATAGTCTAGTCTATAGTCTAGTCTATAGTCTAGTCTATAGTCTAGTCTATAGTCTAGTCTATAGTCTAGTCTATAGTCTAGTCTATAGTCTAGTCTATAGTCTAGTCTATAGTCTAGTCTATAGTCTAGTCTATAGTCTAGTCTATAGTCTAGTCTATAGTCTAGTCTATAGTCTAGTCTATAGTCTAGTCTATAGTCTAGTCTATAGTCTAATCTATAGTCTAGTCTATAGTCTAGTCTATAGTCTAATCTATAGTCTAGTCTATAGTCTAGTCTATAGTCTAGTCTATAGTCTAGTCTATAGTCTAGTCTATAGTCTAGTCTATAGTCTAGTCTATAGTCTAGTCTATAGTCTAGTCTATAGTCTGGTCTATAGTCTAGTCTATAGTCTAGTCTATAGTCTAGTCTATAGTCTAGTCTATAGTCTAGTCTATAGTCTGGTCTATAGTCTAGTCTATAGTCTAGTCTATAGTCTAGTCTATAGTCTAGTCTATAGTCTAGTCTATAGTCTAGTCTATAGTCTAGTCTATAGTCTAGTCTATAGTCTAGTCTATAGTCTAGTCTATAGTCTAGTCTATAGTCTAGTCTATAGTCTAGTCTATAGTCTAGTCTATAGTCTAGTCTATAGTCTAGTCTATAGTCTAATCTATAGTCTAATCTATAGTATAGTCTATAGTCTAGTCTATAGTCTAGTCTATAGTCTAGTCTATAGTCTAGTCTAACGTCTAGTCTATAGTCTAGTCTATAGTCTAGTCTATAGTCTAGTCTATAGTCTAGTCTATAGTCTAGTCTATAGTCTAGTCTATAGTCTAGTCTATAGTCTAGTCTATAGTCTAGTCTATAGTCTAGTCTAGTGTATAGTCTGGTCTATTGTCTAGTCTATAGTTTAGTCTATAGTCTAGTCTATAGTCTAGTCTATAGTCTAGTCTATAGTCTAGTCTATAGTCTAGTCTATACTCTAGTCTATAGTCTAGTCTATAGTCTAGTCTATACTCTAGTCTATAGTGTAGTCTATAGTCTAGTATATAGTGTAATCTATAGTTCAGTCTATAGTCCTGTTTATAATCTAGTATATAGTGTAGTCCATAGTCTATTCTATAGTCTAGTCTGTAGTTTAGTTCGTTATGATATTCAAAATAGTGGGATGCAAATAGTAATCAGGGGATATGGTTTACCAATCCATTTCCATACATGTAAAAAGTTAATTGTTTTAAAAAGAAATCTTGATCTAACAATTTTCATTATCAAATTTTAGTATCGATACAGTTTTACCTCAACCAAACCGATTCTATAAGCATAAAATGTTCCGAAATCTGACTCATTATTTTGTATAAAATATTTCCTCTCTCTTTCTGTTAGAAGTTATGATGAACTTTATATCTACTTCATGCTGTTAATAATAATTTTAAACAACTTAATGTCTTTATAATTATGTATTTATTAAAAAATATTTATATAAAATAAGTTTTTTAATTATTATTTAAGGTTCAAAAGTACTACAAGGTTTTCTTTTATTTAAAAGAAAAACACAATTGTTTTACTTATATTTAAACAATTAAAATATTATTTAAACAGTTGCTTTTTCAATATAAAAACAGATGTTGGATATGAAATCTTTAAATAAATATTAAATATTTTCATTTTATTAATAGCATATAGACAGTGACAAATCTTTAAAATAATATATGACTGATAAAAAGAGGGAATTGTTTATGTAAAAATGTGAACAAATAATGGAAAATTTTAAAGTTTTAAATATTTTCTTTAATCAAATTAAAAAAAATGTCATTTGCTTTTAAATTTTTATAAAATTATTAAAAAACATTTAAATAAATAATGAAAAATATAATAGAGCTTAAGTACAGCTAGGTTTTTTACCAAGTTTACGTATAAGTAATATTTTATCACGCCCACTAAAAGTAGGCGTTTCTTTATATTTTGATAAACAAGTGCATAAGCATTTTAAATATTCAACAAACTATTTAGAATAATTTAATTTTTTTTATACAATAAATCTTCTGTTATTTCCTTTTGCGGCTTTTAACAATTAAATTTTGTTAATATTATAACAAAATATTCTAAATTTTTAGTTTTATGTTAATAGTTTAAATGTTAAAGGCGCCAAGCCCATATTAGGCAGCCATTTAAAAAACCAGATTACAAATTTAAGAAAAACTTAAAATTTCCTAATCAATCAGCAATGACCAAATTTGCTAACAAATCATTTAGTTGAAATAGTTTTTAATGGTTTTTATTTTAATTTTTAACTGAAATGAATTTAAATTAATTGTTTACAAATTGCAAAGAATTTATTTATTTGAATGCCTTTTTCAATTTTTTATTTATTTATATTTTCCCAAGAAGTGAATGTACGTTATGTCAGCCCACGCTGATAAAAAAATATAAATTGTAATATAAATTGTATACACATTTGTATTTTATGATAAAAAAAAACACTGAACAATTTGTGTTGTTCTTTTCTACTTTATAAAGTGAAAAAATGAAATGAAATAATTTATTTGTTTGACATTAATTACACCAGAATCAGTTGATATGATAAGATAGGTACGCACTCATCTTTAAATTTTTTTCTTTTAAGATAAAAAGAAAGAAGTTTGAATTGTTTTCGTCTAGAGAATTGTGACGCTTAGTTGGAATTTTTTGTCTTTTGCAAACATTTTGACGCACCCGGAAATTCTTAGACTTTTTATCAAATGTTGTTGGACAAAATCTTCATTTCATTTTCTAGCTTCAATTTTAGGACTTTATACATATATCACAACTAAAGCTTCAATGATAGGTCTTTATATAGATCAATTGCAGTATTGACTATAGATCTATATCTAGTCCCACTTAAACTTCAATCTTAGATCTTTTGGTAGTACAACTTTAGCTTCAACTGGAGGTATTTTTATAGTCCAACTTGTGATTCAGTTAGAGGTTTTTGTGGTCCAAATTAAGCTTTAATTGTAGGTCTTTTTGTAGTCCAACTTTAGCCTTGTAAACCAACTTGTGCTTCAATTAGAGGTCTTCTTTGTAGTTCAACTTTAGCTTTATTCGCAGGTCTTAATGTAGTTCAGGTTGTAGGTCTTTTTGTAGTCTAACTTTAACTTCCATTTTAGGCCTTTATGTAGTCCCGGTTTAGCTTCAACGGTTGATCTATTTTTGGTCCAACTTTTGCTTCAATTGGAGGTCGTCTTTGTAGTTCAACCTTAGCTTCATTCATAGGTCTTAATGTAGTACAACTTTAGCTTTTTTACACTCTTTATCAAGTAGGACTTTATGTATTACAACTAAAGCTTCAATGGTAGTTCTTTATATTGATCAATTATAGTATTGACTATAGATCTATATTTAGTCCCACTTAAGCTTCAATCGTAGGTCTTTTTGTAGTAAAACTTCAGCATTAACTGGAGGTCTTTTTGTAGTCCAATTTGTGCTTCAGTTAGAGGTTTTTGTAGTCCAAATTAAGCTTTAATTGTAGATCTTTTTGTAGTCCAACTTTAGCCTTCATTTTAGTAGTTTATATAGTTATAGTTTAGCTTCAATTGTTGGTCTATTTGTAGTCCAAGTTTAGCTACAACCGTAAATCATTTTGTAGTCGAACTGTAGCTTTCATTTTAGACCTATATATAGTCCCTGTTTTGCTTTAACGATTGATCTATTTGTGGTCCAACTTCT